CCCCAAAACCCCAAAACCCCAAAACCCCAAGATGTGCATATTCATATTCGATCGGTCCAACTAGTAAATCAAAATATTAAAAATAATAACTTGAGGTGAGAATTTAATTTACTAACTATAATCATATACAATAGAGAAATCAAATCTTAGTAAATATCTTTAATTTGAAATTTTTGCAGGTCAAAATCTTATTAAACTCTAGTTGCCTAATTTTACAAAAGAGAATAGTAATTATATTTAAACTTTAATCAGTATTAGTTGAAAAATTTACTATTGAACAATTTACAAAATGGAAAAGAATTATAAGAACGTCTCATCTTTTGAGATTCAAAGCAAACAAGAGTTGATTCTTGACATTGATGAACACTAATAGAAAGAGCATAGACATGACAAATCGATTGACACTGAAAATAACAAGAAAGCTTCTGATTTTTAATGCTTAATGATATCAATCAAACTATTCTTTGGACTATCTTACTTATCAATACCAAATACTTTTTCATTGGGTGGAGTCATTGGAGGAACTGTAATGCTAACTGTGGTTGTTTGCCTCAACCTTATAACTATGATGCAAGTTCTTTCTGTTGGAAACTAACACCCAGGAGTAAAATCTTATTCAGAGCTAGGTTATAAAGTATTTGGGAAGAGAGGCAAAGTATTAGTAGACCTATGTATTTGCATAACTTAGTTATCCTGCTGTATTGCATACTAATACTTTACAGCTTCCTCTATTGATTTTATCTTATGCCAAGCTTCTAATAACAATCACTGCTATGGAAACAGGCTATTCTTGATATTGATAATGATTCCAGTGATATTTTTGAGCTTCCTCAGCTCATATAAGGCTTTATCATACCTTTCTATTCCATCAGTCATTATTGCAGTAATGGGTATTATTACAATATTCTCGTACTCTATCGACAAAATCAAGACCAATGAATAAGAACCTTTTGAGGATATCCAATGGTTTAACCTTTCAGCTGTACTTGGAAGAGTTGGTATTGCGATGCACATATTCAGTGGAAATCCATCAATACTAAATATCTAGAGCGAAGCTAGAAATAAGAAAAGGTACCCAACTCTCCTCAAACTTGGAGTACTATTTCTTTTAATCCTCTACTCACTATATGGTACAGTAAGTTACATAGCTTATCGAGAGAAAACTCAACCTATATTTATCATGAGTATGGTTCCTATGGATAAGTTCATTTACTTTGTCTTTTTGTGTTTTGCTTTCAATTCAATGACGTCCTATCCTGTTTAGATCCTGACAGCATTCCAAATAGTAGAGAAACTTGAGCTATACCAAAACATTCATGCACCTTATCATTTAAAGAGATATCTCTCCAGAACCTTGATTATAATATCTGTGACATGCATAAGTTTAATCGTACCCAATTTCACAGATTTCTTAAATATATCTGGGTCTGTGGGAGCAACATTTTCATGTTTCGTGATTCCCTAGCTTTTGTATATGAGTTAGTACAAGGAAACTATAAAGTTATATGAGAAGATCGGATGTATAATGCTTTTGTTAATAGGTATTAGTGGAAGTGTGTTTTCAATACACTTCACAATTAATAGAATAATTCATGGTGATAACCATTGAGATTTAAAGTTATTGACACATATCAGACAATATATAAATGTTTATTCAAGAAAGTCTTGTAAATAGAAAAAGACATATTAATTAAAGCTTATTTTTAAACTAAAAATGATTTAATTTACTGCTATTGGCTAGTTAATAATCTTATTAGAATTGCATTTGGAATATTCTTCCTTACTTTTAATTTATACCTGATGGGGTTTTGGGGTTTTGGGGTTTTGGGG